CCTGAACTATGAGAGGGAGTCAGTGAGGTAGGAGGCGGGTAGAGGAACGGGAAGGATCCCAGAGGGAAGGGACAGCATGTGCAAAGACCCTGGGGCAGGAAGGAGCAAGGGCCTCTTACGTATTGCTGGTAGAGTGAGATGTGGCTAAACAAGTTGGATGTTTAATGAGGCTGCCAGAATCTTCTTTGTCCTCTCTTTGAGCCCCCTAAAAGACTTGTAAAGGTTTCCCCATCCATCACACTTCACTTTGAGCTTCAAAGGGCTCTGTCCAGACTGCCCCCAGATTACCAAAACCTTTCTCACACTCCTCTTTGGTTCTATGAAGAAAACACATTTATCAAAAGACTAAAGCAAATAGTTTTGACGTGCGGTTCTGTACCATAAGGGAGGCTATAATGAAGTCAGTCCCAGTTTACATGACTCCAAATGGTTTCATTTAAATGTCCCACCCTGTATTTACGTGTCCCTACCCACTTTAGTTGACTGTTTATCTTCCAGTATAGTCTACTGAACTTGCAGGCTTGGCCTCTATGTAATTCTGTCTCTTACTTTTTCCATTCCATGGCCTGTCATTTACATTTTTCTTTAGGAAATGCAAATATTTATTTATGGTATTAGTTTTTACTCTTGCTTAGCCCTATATATTATAGAGTACACAGACTGTGATAAGGGTTCTAGTCCTGTATTTTTCCATAAACTGGTGGTGACCTTAGCCAAGTCATTTAACTTCACCGAGCCTAAGATGCTTTGTAAAATGAGTGTTTTTCATTTCTGTTATTTTGTTTTGTTTTATAAAGCTAGCGGATCCATATTCAGGATTCCTCTTAGTTCTGTGGTTCTGTACCTCTTACAGTCATCCAGGAGTATTCCTCTTACATCTTTGTCTTTATCAACCCCTCTTTCAGAATGTCTTTGTGGGTAGGACCAACTCTCTGTATAATTGCTTTTGTATGGTAGCATACCCAGGGTAGTATTTAGCAAATGGAAACAGAGCATACTGTTGGGCTTGGGTTAAAGCTCACATATGTGGGGAAGTGGTTGAGGAGCAGGAACATTCTAGCTGCAGGCCTGAGATTCCCTTAGACTGCTTCTCAATCTGGGGCCTAGGAACCCATAGGGGTATATGGAGGTGTGCCAGCGAGTTTAGGAAGCCCTTCCTTCTGGAACAAGAATTCTACTCAAAGATTTGAGGAAAGAAAATTGACTTTAGTATTGAGACAAATATGGATATATTGTGAATAGAAGATAAGAGTGATATGATTTTTTTAAAAAGATTTATTTATTTGAGATACAGAGTGAGGGAGAGAGCAGGAGTCGGGGGTAGAGGGCAGAGGGAGAGGGAGAAGCAGACTCCCCGCTGAGCAGGGAGCCCGGCCACGGGTCTCCATCCCAGGACCCCGGGATCATGACCTGAGCCGAAGGCAGACGTTCAACTGACTGAGCCACCTAGGCACCCCAAAAATCATATGATATTTTTTTATTAACATAAAATGTATTATTTGCCTCAGGGTACAGGTCTGTGATTCATCAGTCTTAAACAATTCACATACCCTCCCCAATGTCCATCACCCAGCCACCCCATCCCTCCATCCCAGGACCCCGGGATCATGACCTGAGCCGAAGGCAGACGTTCAACTGACTGAGCCACCTAGGCACCCCCAAAATCATATGATATTTTTTTATTAACATAAAATGTATTATTTGCCTCAGGGTACAGGTCTGTGATTCATCAGTCTTAAACAATTCACATACCCTCCCCAATGTCCATCACCCAGCCACCCCATCCCTCCCACCCCCCTCCACTCCAGCAACCCTCAGTTTGTTTCCTAAGATTATGGTTTGTCTCCCTCTCTGGTTTCGTCTTGTTTCATTTTTTCAATCATATGATATTTTAATATGAAAGGAGAACCCAGGACTATACAGCTTGGGGCACACTACAGTGTGAGAGGAAACGGGGCTTTTACTTCTGTCCTTGGGTTGCTCGAGAAATACTTGTCTTATGGGTCTTTGAGACATGTACACTTTCATAGGGTAAAGGTGCTAAGTCACTCAGGAAGGGCATTCCTGATAAATAGTGGACATGTGTGGAAAACCCAATTTCACCCATTAGGAGAGTTTAAAGAGGGTCCTGAGGTTGAGAGGGAACCAGGCTGAACAAAGGACCCATTTCCAAAAACCAAATCGGTTACACAATCTTGCTTAGTATCCTGGCCAAAGGCTGGGTTCGAACTGACCCCGACATCTGGAAGATCTCTCGTCCTTTCTCTGACCTCCAGTATCTCTTCTTGTCTGTACCCCCAGCTCTGGTACTTACCAACCATTTTATGTTAGTTATATTTTCTTGTTTATACAGCTTCTCAGCCAGAGTCAGGGAGGTCGGGTGAGTTAAGAAAAAGTATAGGATTGAGCATCAAGACCTTGCTTGCCACGTGACTTTCGGTTACTCCCTGAAATCTCTCTGATTCCCAGTTTGCTCATCTATTAAATGGTGCAAAATAACACCCGCCTTGCATACTGAACAGGTAGGATTGCCTGCAGAGCATATGGATTTGCAATGTAAAAACATTTTGTAAATCATTAAACAAAAATCAGTTATTATTAACTAAGACCCCAAAGGGAAGGAGGGCATATCTCTTGAATCATCTTTCTATTCGCCTCAACTTTTAACTTTGCCTAGTTGGTTCTGATCAACTATTAGTGATAAAGATCATGAAATGCTGTCCCCAGGCTGACCCTGGGAAAACTCTAATTCTGTCTTTCTCTCCCACCCCCATCCTTTACTCCTTTACTGGCTTCAGTCCCCACCCCCACCCCCACATGCTCCCACACTGCTATTTCTTCCCACTGCCCCTTCCAGAGAATTTGGGTATTAAGAGGACACTTACAGAGGTTGTGTAATGTATATGAATGAACTGCTGGAGGCAATTTCAGGCATCAGCAGGGAAAGTTTTATGGCAATGCCATTTTTGTGGGCAAATGAACTGGTGTCATTCTGGAAACTTTCTCCCAGAATAAAAACACCCAAACAGAACTCTGGAATTTTTTTTTTTTTTTGAGACCTAGCCTAAATATCTCCCAGGTAATAATGAAGAATCACATTTTCATTGACCTCTTTGCTGAAGTCAGACAATTTCTCTACCTTCTCAGCTTGGGGGTGAAGGCCAGCCTGCTTCACAGTTAACATCTCTGAGGGAAATACCAGGAAAGGTTGAGGGGGGTGGCGTAAGGGGCAGGTTTAACATGTACTGGATTAAGAACGCTTCAGCTAAACAGTAACTTTACTAGGCCATTCCCCTCATATCTGCCTTGACCTCAGGGTAGAGTGGGCTTTCTTTTTTTAAGATTTATTTATTTGTCAGAGAGAGAGAGAGCAAGCACAAGCAGGGGGAGGGGCAGGCAGAGGGAGAAGCAGACTCCCCGCTGAGCAGGGAGCCAGATGTGGGGCTTGATTCCACGACCCTGGGATCATGACCTGAGCTGAAGGCAGCCGCTTAACCAACTGAGCCACCCAGGCGCCCCTAGAGCGGACTTCTGCACATATTGCCCGTTTTGCAGACATGTGTTCAGCAACTCACACGCAACTCTTGATCTCTGTGGCAGTGAGTTCAAGCTCCATGTTAGGCATAGAGAGGAAGGGAGGGAGGGAGGGAAGAAGGATAGAAGGAAGGAAGGAAGGAGGGAGGGAAGGAAGGAAGGAAAGGAAGGAAGGAAGGAAAGGTTCTTAGGCCGCTTCATAATTTTCCCTTTCAAAACGCATGAGTTGCGCAAGAAAAATCCACATTCCACATTAACAAGACGGGTTATAATAAGAACTTGATTTCTTACAGGCAATACTTTCATCTTATGTTTTATTTTATTTTTTTAAAGCAAGCTTTTGCTGTAAGAAATCAAGTCAGTTAATAAAGATAGGAGAGTAGGCAGTGGACACTTCCTTTTCATTCCCCCCCCGCCAAAGTGCAGGAATTGGAGGGGAGGGTGGTCACTCCAGGTCCTCACATCACTTTAGGGGCAACAGAGCAGACCCGGAGGCAGGGGTAGGAGGGCCGCCCCCAGGTCAAGCAGAGCCCAGGCCAGGACTTCAGGGGCGCAGCCTCCACGGACCGGCCGCTGGCCAGGGGTCTCGGTTTCCACACCTGCAGAATGGTAGCACGGCCCGGCTCTCACGATGCCCTAGGATGTGCTAAAAAGAAACCACCCTCCTGGGTGTGGATCTGTTTCCCGGGCTACAGGAGCCGGCTGAAGAGAAACAAAGCACCGTGCTCCCTCTCTCCCTAAGTAGTTCCAGGTGATCGTTCTCGTGGGGGGCCGGAGATGCCAGGCAGACGCCGGCCCCGGAGACCACGGAACCCTTCGCGCCCACGAAGACCCAGCACGAGCCCGGCCGCCTCGGCCGGCGGCGGACTGCGGGGTGGCCACGTGACCCCGCCCGTTGCCCCGGGCGACGGGCGGCGCTTTGTTCTCAGGGCCCCGACTCTCCCACCCGGCGCCCCCGGCGGGGCGGGCGGGGGTGCGCGCGGGGTTGGCCCGGGCGCCTCCGCGTGCCGTCAGGCCCCTCCCGGCCGCCCGTCCCCCCGCCTCCCCCCGCCGCCGCGCCGCGGTTGGTTCGACCCGGGCCTCGAGGCTGCGCGGCCGCGGCGCCGACCCCAGAGCAGGCGGCCGGTCGCCGGGGAGGAGGTGAGCGGCGCGGAGCCGGAGCGCCGAGGGCTCCCTCTGCTGCCGGAGCCGGAGAGGGCCCGAGGCGGGCGTCCCGGGCGAGGAGGGTCGCACCCCGCGCCGCCTCCTCGTTGCGCGCCCAGGGCCTGACTTCTGGGTCCCCGCACCCCTCCTCCAGGCTCCTTTGTCCCGCCTGTGCCCCGAGAGGCCCTGAAGCTGCCCACCCTGCGCTTTTGGTCTGGCCGGGTCGGGCGCGCAGGGCCGGGCTCCGGACCCCCGGCGGCAGTTGGAGAGCCCCCTTCCCCGACGCCAACGGCGCGTCATTTCTCCCCAACCCAGATTCCATCCGCAGCATGCCGGACGTCGAGGAGAAAGTGCCCCTGAAGGACCCAGGCGATCCAGAGTGCCGGTCCTGCAAGCCCGAAACGTCAGCACCGACCCGGGAAGACCGGAGCGGCCCCGAGGCCCACCCCGCCTGTAGGTCCCGTCGCCGCCCGGGGGCGCCCGGCCTGGGGCAGGGCGGAAGAGGAAGGGCCCGCCGTCCTCTCGTCGTCGCCCTCCCCGGCCTCTCGGCTTGCCCTTCGCCTCGTCTCCCCCCGACCCAGTCCCTGCTCACAGGCCCTAGGCCCCCTGTGCACCCGAAGGTTGGTCTAGGAGGAAGAAGCGACCCGGGCGGGATTGCTTGGATCTGACAAGGTTCGAGGCCAAGCGCGTTCGCCGCCATCGTTGTTGTCGTTTGAATTTGTAGGTGGAAAATGGCGGACCCTTGGGGTACTTTCAAAGAACCCAGGTGATCCTGGGTGGGAATCACTCGGCGCTTCATGGACTCTAGGAGTTCTACGGCTCTGGGCTTGTGTTCTTGAGCTCTGTACTTTTATGTTCCTAGCGGGTCACAGGTCTCTTCTATACTTGCGTAGGTCGAACCTCACGGGGACCCATCCGGCATTTCTCTTCTAGTAATCTCTAGAGATTTTAAACAGGCATCAGTCTGAAGACCTGTCCACATGTAAGAGTTTAACTCGAGTTAAACTCTTGAAGATTAAAATGGGAGAAATTAGTTCAAGGCCCTGGTACTCTGCAGTTGAATTCCGCTTGTTTCCTCTTGTGGCCACGTGGGGTCGCTGCCAGCTAACAGAATGGCCCCAAAAGTGACAAATTGGTGCATAGGAATTTATTTAGATAGGAACGAACCTGATGTGGGGGTGAATGCCAATTTTTTGTGAATACAGTGTAAACAATTTAAGTTCTTCGGGTGGCTCTTTGAATGAATCCATAGGTAAAATAACCTGAAAGTGAGTAACCAAATTACCCCTTAAAAAAAAAAAAGAATTTGACATTTTGTAGATTAGGTTGACTTGTTCAGTTACTGTATCATGTTGAAAATTTCTTTGTCCTTGGGATTTGGATTTTAAAAATCTAGTTGCATTTTCCCTCAAATTTCTCTTTGGGCCCTCCCCTTTCCTGAATTTTACAGCTGTTGGGAATTGCCTAGCACCACGGTACTTGGGAGCAGCAATCTTGTCAAAGTAGGCTCTGAACTTTGACTTGTAGTTGGAAAGTGTTTCTGTGGATAATCTTTCCCTCAGTGCTTCAATAAGCTGCTATAACTCAATCTCCCTTGGAAGATTTTCTTTTATTTCTCATTTCGCATTAGTGAGTTAATGGATTGTCTGTTTACATATTTGACTGTGTCTTGCCATTTTAGCTGAAACCAAAGGCTTCGGAGAGGCTGCAAAAATAAAGGGAACTTCAACTGTCCACTTAAGGTTCAGTTCATCTTTATGTTTACCTAAGCAAGGGCTCAGTGGCTTTTTGGTAAATTTGCAATCACCTTTTACCCATACATTTTTATTTTATTTATTTTAATTTTTAATTTCAAAGTAGTTCAACTTTGTTGAAAAGTAAGCAAACAAAAAAAAAAAATGGTGAATGCCCCCATTGCTAACATTCTGCCACATTGCGCTTGCTCTCTCTCTCTATATAAGTATTTTTGTCCTTTCTTACTGAAAGTTAGGGTCATGACTTCTAAAAACTTCATCATGTGTCTCCTAAGAATAAAGGCATTCTGTGTAACGTCTTTTCTACAATAACTGTTTTTCCTTTTTACATTTTGAAATCTTATTTATGGACAACTTAAACATTTACAACAGTAGACCAGTATGATGAGCCACGTTTACTCATTACCCAGCTTCAACAGTGACCAACTCATGGCCGATCTTTGTTCATTTATATCTGCTCCATATCTCAGAACCAGATATTTTTCTGTGGACGAATTATGAAGTGCTATTGAAAGAGAATGAGAAAATACGATTTACTATGTGCAACTTTGTTCCACATACCAAGTGATCATTCTGAGTATTGTGCCTGTTATGTGAGAATGGGCTCAGCTGGGTCTGTAGTAAGAACTTAGAGCAGTGGGTCCCAAATGCTAGTGCTGGTTTACGACAAAATTCTTCACAATATTTAGTGAAAGGAAATAAAGATGTAATGGGTTTTTCCCAAAGCTAAATTGATTCAGTGTACAGGGCTCCTCTTTATTCTGACAATATTACCTTTCTGTTTTTGTGGGGCGGGGGTGGGGGTGTTTTTGGTTTTGGTTTTTTTTGGAGGTTAAGCTATTCTTTTATGTAATGATGGTTTGGTGGTGGTAGAGTGGATTTTTTTATTTGCTTATTTGCTTGTCTCACTGTCCACACTTGGTAAAACAAAACATTGGCAAGTTGTCATCAATTGCTCAGAATCTTTTTGGAAATGTCAGTAGCCTGTAAAATCCTAACACCTGGGAACTCCTGCTTTTTGAGACCAGGTGACACTGGTGCCCTTCAGTAACATCTATATGGAGAATTTAACTTTCATCAGAAGCAGGAAAAGGAGAGCAGAATCAGAACACCCTTAGATAGATGCTTATGTTTGCAAATTACAAATTATTGTTTCTTTGCTGCTTTATTATTTTACTTTTCAAGGGAAAGGCTTGTAATTAGTTTTTGTTATTTATAAAATAGCTTCTTTGTCCTCCCTTACTCCCATGCTGGACTACTCTAGGCACAGAGTTCAGAAAACCTAAATGACTAGAACGGTCAAATGAGTTCGTGTAAGATCAATTCGATGAACCTAAATTTGGGGCCCACTCAGAGTGAGTCTCTGAATAAAATAGAAATTCAGAATGACTTGTGTCCACCATAAGTTCTTTTTTTTTTTGAAATGGAGATATAACTGATGCGAACATTAGTTTCAGGTGTACACCTGAGGATCTTTCTGTCGCAGGTCTGATAGATACAGTTGACAACGTTTCTAAGCTGAGCAACAAGATTGGAATGAATCATGATTTCCACATGGAAGAAAAGGTTTCCCCTCCAAGCAGGTACCAGCTCTTCTGATTTTCCCATTTTATTCATCCTGGCATAGCTATTTAGCACTCATGGCTTCTGACCAGATTTGAAGCATTTTTATTTAATAATCTAATTTATAGTCAGTAAAACTGGGGAAAAAATACAGTGTTTGCTTATAAGCCTTAAGAGGGCGCAACAACTTAAATAGAAGAGTAATAATTATTAGTATTAGAGGGTTAAGAAGCAAATGTTATTTAACTAGTGAATAAGCCAAAGTAATTATTATTGGAATGTTCACTTTGCGAGCCCCTGTTAATAATAAAATACCAGTAGGGTGGATTTCAGATCTTCTCCGATAGATGTGGAGGAAGTAGTGTGTGGTAGCTAGCTATTGTTGCCATCAAATTATTCCAAAACTTAACAGCTGAACGAGTGTTCGTTATCTCACAGTTTCTGTGGGTCACAGATCCGGGCTCGGTTTAAGGGTGTCTCCCGCTCTAGTTGTGCTAACCAGAGCCTCCCTGAGCTCCGGGCCACATGGCAGCTGGCTTCCCTCACTCAGAGTGAGTGAGAAAATAAGGGCGTGAGAGACGGTGCCCAAGACAGAACCCACAGACTTTTTGTTACCTCATCTCAGAAGTGACATCCCAGCACCTCGGCTACCTGCGCCCACACTCCGGGAGATGAGATTACACCAGTGTGAATAGCAGGACTCTTAGATTTTTGGGGTCATCCTATTGGCTGCCTGCCTCATAGCTCCTTCCAATTAGTCTTTTAAGTGACCACAGATGATAAAAATATGAGTTTTCTTTTTTTTTAAAGATGGTATTAATTTGAGAGTGAGTGAGAGAGAGTATGAGCGAGGGGGAGAGGCAGACGGAGAAGGAGAAGCAGATTCCTTGCTGAGCAGGGAGCCCGACGAGGGGCTCCATCCCAGGACCCTGGGATCATGGCCTGAGCCAAAGGCAGACGCTTAACCATCAGAGCCACCCAGGCGCCCCCATAAGTCAGTTTAATTTATGAATCAGAATCAGAACTCTTGATAAATAATGCTCTCCCACCTCCGTCAAGCTTCTCTTTGATTCTTAGTTATATTGACATCGTAGCAAGTGAGAACCATTTGGGAAGTATGAATTGAATGGCTCTGCTGGTTAATTGGCAGTTAGATGGGTAAATTCAATGTCAGATTTTAAAAACCATTCTAATTTCCCACCAATAGATAAATGAGGGCAGCTTGTGATCAGTTTCCTTAAATGCTTTTGTGATCGGCAGCCTCCGGGACTCTCTTACTCAGGTGCTGTTCTCTAAGGCGCGCACTTCCCCTCCTCTTCGTGCTCTGATTTGGCCTTGCCTGGTGCCAAGCACAGCTTCTGCGGGACCAGGTTTTCCCCAAAACCCACATGTCCTAACATCTCCCTCTCTGTTTAGATATGTTTGTGACGACAGAAGAGGAGAAACAATTGAAACTGGGAGAATGAAGATCTGCTAAAGGGGCAGTAGCGAGGGAGCTTGGGGGGCGGGTAGAAGAAGCCATGAGAGAGGGAGAAATGAAGGAGGAGAAATAGTACCAGTCAGAGCTGGGTTTTCATGTAAGGCCATGCAGAATTTGTATCGGGGAAAAGGTTGAAATAGAGTTTGACATGACTCATTTTTGGCAATTGGCTCTCTGTGCATAGGATGGTGTTAACAGCCGTCCACTCCGAAGGGAAATCCCATGTTTGGGCATTCATTCATCAGGCGTATATTGAGTCCTTATGTGGCAGGCAAAATGCTGAGTGCTGGGGATAGACGGAGATGTGGCTATAGATAAACAAAGCACTGTCATCACTGTCAGAAGTTTTTGTAGGGAGGACAGTTGAATAACAGAAGAGACTGATCAGTTGACTCATCGTTCTGTGTATAGAGTTTCATGAGAGTGCTCAATTGCTTAAGGAGGGTCAGAGAAGATCTGCCTACAGAGGAAGACTTGAGTCGAGTCTTAGAGGAGGCATAAATGCTGCCCAGAGGGTCTAGGTGGGAAAGAATGTTCCCGGCAGAGGAAACTATGTCAGAGGCAAGAATATGGTATGTTCTTTACAGGTACCTTGGTGTGGCTGGGTACAAGATATGAGATAGAAGGAGATAAACTGGAAAAGGAGGCAGAGCAATGTCCGGAAGGGTCCCATAAGTGGTTTATGTTGCTGGTGAGGGGAAGTCCCTAAAGGACTTTACCCGAGCGTGGCATCACGGTCATAATTGCATTTCAGAAGTCCTTGATTTTGGAATGAATTGGTGGAGAACAGATAAAAAAGGGACAAGACCGAAGGCAGGGGGACCAGTGAATGGACTATTGCAGTAGTCCACGTAAGAGATGATGGGAGGAAGGGATGGATTCCAGAGGCATTTAAGAAACACAATTGATGGAACTTGGAGATGGATTGGCTAGATGGGAGAAGAAAGAGAGCGGCTCGAGTACACCTTAGACCATCGGACGGATCGTAGGTGCTAACCTCTGAGGACTGAGAGTGGTGTGCTGTGAGAGCAACTTTGACTTTTTGTTTTATTCATCTTCTTATTGCTTGTTTTTTGTTTGTTTTACATGGAGCATGCATTACTGTATTTTTACATGGAGCATGCTTTACTGTATTTTTTTAAGGGGGGATGTTTAATTCAAGAACACCAGTAGCTACTTGGCAATGACTAGGTCTAACCTCAGACTTTTCAAATGGTTCTTTTTCTCTTAGGAGTCTCACTACAGGTTAGGATCATCATTTAAATAAACTTTGAGAGGAAAATTAATTCCTAGCATTTCCTTTTTAAAATTTTTAAAGTTAAATTGAAAATGAATACACATTTTTTTAAAGTAGTTTAGTTTTACAGAAAAAATGATCGGAAAGGGCAGAGCTCCCACACAGCCCATCCTCTGCGGCACACGGATTCCACCGTTGTTTATATCTTGTAATCAGAACACCCTTAGAGGAGGGTAATCTGATGAATCTAAATTTGGGGCCCACTCAGAGTGAGTGTCTAGTATTGTTAGAGTTGATGATCTAGTATTTGTTAGAGTTGATGATCTAGTATTAATACATTATTATTAACTCCAGTCCATAGTTTACATTGGGGTTCATTTTTTGTATATTCTTTGGGTTTTGAAAAATGTATAATGTCATGTATTCACCATTTTTGTATCATACGGAGTGATATCACTGCCCTAAAAATCCCCTGTGCTCTACTTGTTCACCCTTTTCTCCCTGCCCCACGTATCCTTGGCAACCACTGATCTTTTTACTGTCTCCACTGGTTTCCAGAATGTCCTGTAATTGGAATCGTACAACATGTAGCCTTTTCAGATTGGCTCCCTTCACTTAGCAATATGCGTTCAAGAGTCTTTCATGTCTTTTGAGGCTTGATAGCTCATTTCTTTTTAATGCCGAGTAAATATCCCATTATCCAGATGTACCACGGTTTATTTGTCCACTCACAGAATGACATCTTGGTTGCTTCCAAGTTTCGGCAGTTATGAATAAAGCTGCTATAAACCTCCCTGTGCAAGTTTTTGTGTGGACACAAGTTTTCAACTCATTTGCTTAAATACAAAGGACGGTTGATGGATCATATGACAAGAGTATGTTTCGTTTTGTAAGAAGCTGCCATACTATTTTCCAGAGTGGCTGTACCATTTTGCATTCCCACCAGCAGTGCATGGGAGTTCCTAGAGTTGCTCCACAGCCTCACCAGCATTTGGTGGTGTCAGTATTTTGGATTGGGGCATTCTCATAGATACTGATGGGTATGTCATTGTTATTTTAATTTGCAGCTCCCTAATGACATGATGTTGAGCATCTTTTCATATGCTCATTTGCCATCTGTGTGATGACTTTTGTGAGGTGTCTGTTCAGATCTTTCCCCATTTTAAAATTGGGTTCTGTTCTTGTTGAGTTTTAAGAGTTCTTTGTATATTTTGGATACTAGTTCTTTTTTTTTAAAAGATTTTATTTATTAGAGCGAGCACTAGCACAAGCAGGGGGAGTGGCAGTGGGAGAGTGGCAGTGGCCGCTGAGCAGGGAGCCCCAATGTGGGACTCCATCCCAGGACCCCGGGATCATGACCTGAGCCAAAGGTAGATGTTCAACTGACTGAGCCACCCAGGCGCCCCATGGATTCTAGTTCTTTATCAGATATATGTTCTGCAAAGATTGTGCTTTGTCTTTTCATCTCTTAACAGTGTCTGTCACAGAGCACAAGTTTTTAATTTTAATGGAGTCCAATTTACCGATTTTTCCTTTCATGGATCATCATGCTTTTGGTGTTGTATCTAAAAGGTCATTGCCAAACCCAAGGTCACCTAGTTTTCTAGGTTATCTTCGGTGGTATCTACTTTTTACATTTAGGTCTGTGATCCATCTGTGGAAGGTATAAGGTCTGTGTCTAGATACATTTTTTTGCATGTGGAGGTCCAGTTTTTCCAGCACCACATGCTGAAGAGACTATCCTTTCTAAAATGAATTGCCTTTGCTTCTTTTTTTTTTTTTTTAAAGATTTTACAGCGAGAGCAGGAACACAAGCAGGGGGAGTGGGAGAGGGAGAAGCAGGCTCTCCACCGAGCAGGGAGCTCGATGCGGGGCTCGATCCCAGGACCCTGGGATCATGACCTGAGCCGAAGGCAGACGCTTAACGACTGAGCCACCCAGGCGCCCTTTTTTTTTTTTAGAAGAAGAAATGACTGATCTTTCTGGCCTCCATGACTGGCTACCTGGTAGTGCCCCTGAGATTGGGACTACAGGAGGAACAGGTTTGGAACGGGAAGATGCTGAATTGAGTTTTAGATCTGCTGATTTAGAAATACCTATGGATATTCGAGTATTATCAAAGAAGGATAATCCTTTTCTAGATTTTAGGACTGTGAGAAAATAAAAGATCCTTTTGTTCATTGCTGTATGTATGCATAAATAAGTCACATATTATCTAGGCTAGTTGCAAATCGGTGCTAAAGCTGGCCTGATCTCCCTGGAGAGTTCTTCCTGCTGCAGAGGGAGGGCTGCCTGGAATCATGAGCAGCCCTTCTGAGAGCTTTTACTGATGCCCTTGACATCCAAGTCTGACCCCAGCTTGTTCAACTTTGTTGCAGTCCAAACAGTTCCTGGCCTTTCCTGTCAGTATGATGGTCTTTTGTCATATCAAATGCTGTTTGTTTGGGCCTTAGGAGATAATGACCTTCTAACAGTTTTTGGGTAAAGAAAGTAATTTGTTCATTTAACCCTCTTGCAGTTTGAAAGGCAAGGTCAAGGAGACAATGCACAATGCTTTTTGGGACCATCTCAAAGAGCAATTGTCAGCCACTCCCCCAGACTTCAGTTGTGCTCTTGAACTTCTGAAAGAAATTAAAGAGGTGAGTGACCTACCTTCCACCTGTAGATGTAAGTTTCCTAGACATCCCCAAGGTCATTGGAATGTCAGTGGCTGACAGATCCTAACTGAACGTGGTCCATGAATCAGTCAGAGTCTAATCCGTAGACAGAAATCATACGGTAGTTTCAACAAGGAAGTTTTAATATAAAAATTATTATAACATGGAACTGAAGAAACGAGAGCTTTGAACTAGTAAGAAGCAAACTCTATAAAGTAGATGAAAATACCAGGTAGAAGGAGAATACGCCATATCCCTAGGGCTGAGAGAGAAGACGCAAGGACCCGGAGAGGGCATGGCTGTGCCAGGGAGGCCGTGTGTGTGCTGACCACCATGCAGGGCCTGGGGGCTGGGGCAGCTGCCCGTGCAGGAGGAGCCTGGCCCCGGAAAAGGAGCCACTTGCTCTGCAGGAGCCAGCTACTGGCCAAGCCGCACACCCATAGTGCACCATGCCAAGTGAGTATTCCAGAACCAGGAAGAGAAGCTCTTGCCTCTTGTGACGTCTTTGTAGTATGTGGTGGGCACAACCTAAGGTGAGCCCCCTGCCACCAGTGATCCACATCTTTGTATAATCCTCTCTCCTTGAGCGTGGACGAGATCTGTAACTTGCCTCTAAGCAGTACGCAAGGGTGCTGGCGTGTTGCACCTAGAAATACATTTCACTGTGTAAGACTCCTGTCTTAGCAGAACGGAGAAACCCTTTTGCCGGCCTTGAAGAAGCAGATGGCTAGGCAGTGAACGTCCTCTGGAGAGGGGCAGGGGGCAGGGAAATGCAGCTGGCCCCTAGGATCTGAGGGCAGCATCCACCTGTCCAGCCTACAGCTGTAAGGAAACGAATTCTGCCGGCGATTTGAATGAGCTTGGTAGCCTAGTCCTCCCTAGTCAAGCCTCCAAATGAGAATGTAGCCCAGCCCACACCTTGACTGCAGCCTTGGGAGACCCCGAGCAGAGGGCCCGGTTAAACTGCGGCTGGGCTCCTGCCCCATAGAAATTGTGAGATAAGAAATGTGTGTGCTTTTGGAAGGCTCTAAGTTTATGGTAATTTGTTATGCAGCCCAGAAAACTAATAGTGCCCTCTACAGATGAAGCTTAACAATTGTGCCACCTGGGGAAGGAAAAATATTTAAAGGACTTACTCCATTTCTCAAAGCAGAGAAGAGAATGATGGATTTGGAATGGAATTGAGAGACAATGAATTGGTAACTGTCACATTCCCCTCCTTTGGCTGCTTAGCTTCCGTACGCACCCATCCACACACATTTCAGTTTTTGAAAAAAATCTCTATTTCTACCTGCTAAGATACAGTTGCCTTACAAGTTCTCGTTCTTTCCATACAATGAGGAGACTCACAGCTCCAACAGCTCCTGTGCTGGTTGCTATCAAACTCAGTCACGGTGCTGCTGAATATTCTGTTACTTAAGGCCTAATTGTAAAGTTAACTGCTAACAACCAATCTGTAAAATAATAGTGGGAAGAGAAGGAGAGAAGAAGAAAATGGTCAGCATAGACAAACCCGTGCCTGTGACAGGCAAAGAGAAAACTTACAGTCTTTGTTTCTGTACTTGGTCACATGGCTATGGTAGATCTGCATGGCTTCCTTCTACTGTTCATTCCGTATTTCCCTTGTCCTGAGCCCAAGCCTCAGCTGGTTGGATTTTATATTCCGAAGTGACCCAAACCTTCACTGCCAAAGAGTCTGAGTCCTTCAGCATTTGCTGTTGTTGTATGTTTGCTGTGGTTTCCCAGTAACCTTTATCATTGGGTGTGGAAGTACTAGAGGAACCTCAGAATCTTCTTGCCTTCGTTGTGTAGCATCAACCTGGTTTCTCCGTACTCAGGATCATTTTCTCTAGCCACTAGGATAACCCCCTTTTCACCCTATTGGTTCAGTGGTGTAAGGAGCCCAAAATGGCCAGGTGCAGTCTCATCTTCTCATTCACTGGGACCAGTGCAAGAATTCCTCCCAAATCGGCAGAGCCTAAAGTTGGCAGGATGGGCAACGGAAATTCTGCAGGTAGGTTATTAGGTATAAAAGTAAAAGGAACCAGTCCTACTTCCAGCCCTTGATTCCCAGGACCATGTTGTCTGGCTTTGGGAAACGACACCATATAATGGTCTTTGATTCAGAGAATATATTGCATCTTATAAGGCATAACCTCTTCCCTTCAGGATATTGTCCCTCAACTCATGCTGTAATTGAGTCTTCAATAAGCCATTCTGCTTTTCAGTTAAGGCCTGTTGATTCAAGGGGTATGTGGGTATGAACCCACTGCTGCACTTGCTTTGCTCTGAAATGCTCCGTGATCAGATGCAATGGTATAGGACATGCCAGGACCGGGACAGTGGGTAAGGCATTCTGTAAGTACACAGATGTTGGTGCTCATTAGAAGCATTGCAGACAGAGAAGACAAATCCACATCCAGAATATGTGTCTGTTCCAGTGAGGGTGAGTTTGCCCCCTCCACGATGGAAGAGGTTCAAAGAAATCATCTGCCACCAGGTGGCTGGCTCATCCTCCCTGGGGATTGGTGTCTTATTTGAGCTTAGTTTATATCTTTTGGATTTTTAAAATTGTAAACATACATAACAAAATTTTTACCATGTTAATTATTTTCTTTTTAAAGTAGGCTCCATGCCCAATGTTGGGCTTGAACTCACGACCCTGAGATCAAGAGTTGCATGCTCTACCAACTGAGCCAGCCAGGCGCCCTGCCATTTTAATTACTTCTAAGTGTTAAAATTCAGTGACATTAAGTACATTCACAACGTTGTGCCACCATCACACTATCCATTTCCAGAATGTTCTTATCGTCCCAAGCAGAAACTGTACCTGTTACCAGTAACTCTTCGTCCCCCTCTTCCTCCTGTGTCTGGTGTCCTCTGTTACACTTTGTGTGTTTGGCTACCCCAGGTACCTCATATAAGGGGAATCATAAGATATTCGTCCTTTTGTATGTAGCAGATTTCACTTTAGCATAATGTTTTCAAGGTTCATCCATGTTGTGAACATGGGTCAGATTTCATTCCTTTTTATAGCCCAGTAAAATTCCATTGTACGGATATACTGCATTTTGTTTATCCATTCATCTGTTGATGGGCATTTGTGTTGTTTTCACATTTTGGCTATTGCAAGTAGTACTGCTATGAACATTCGTGTACAAGATTGTGTTTGAACACCTGTTTTCTGCTCTTTGGGGCATATACCCAGGGGTGGCATTGCTGAATTTGAGAAACCACTAAACTGTTTTCCACAGTGGCCACACCACTGTACATTCCCACCAGCAAGGTATGAGGTTCCAGCTTTTCCACGTTTTCCCCAGTGCTGCTTTTCTTTTGTCATAGCCATCTTGGTGGGTGTGAAGTGGAATCTCACTGTGGTTTGGATCTGCATGACCCTGATGGCTAATGGTGCTGAGCGTCTTTCCCTGTGCTTAGTGCCCAAGTTCTGGGTTGTCTTTGGAGAAAGGTTGACTCAAATCCTTTGTCCATTTTCAAATGGGGTGGTTTGTCTTTTGTTGTTGAGTTGTAAGAGTTCTTTATGTATTCTGGATAGTAGCCCCTTCTTAGGTAAGTGATTTGCAAATACATTCTCCCATTCTGTGGGTAGTCTCTTCACCCTCTTGATAGTGTCTTGTGCACAAAAGTTTTACTCCTGATGAAGTCCTGATCTAGCCTGTTCCTTCTACCTTTGGTGTCCTATCTTGCCAAATCCAGGATTATGAAGATTTATCCCTTTATTTTCTTCTAAGAGTTGTAGAATTTTAGCTCTTCTGTTTAAGTCCTTGATCCATTTTCAGTTAATTTTTTTTTTAAGATTTTATTTATTTATTTTACAGAGAGAGAGCACAAGCAGGGGAAGAGGCAGGCAGAGGGAGAGGGAGAAACAGGCTTCCCGCTGAGTGGGGAACCTGATGCGGTGCTTGATCCTAGGGCTCTGGGATCATGACCTGAGCCAAAGGCAGAGGCTTAGCCCACTAAGCCACCCAGGTGCCTCAAGTTAATTTTTTTTTTTTTTAAGATTTTATTTATTTAAGAGAGAGAGAGAGAGAGAGAGAGCATGAGCCGGGGGCGGTGGGGGAGAGGGACAAGCAGTCTCTGCTGAGCAGGGAGCCTGATGTGGGGCTTGATCCCGGGACCCTGAGATCATGACCTGAGCGGAAGGCAGACAGACGCTTAACTAACTGAGCCACCCAGGTGCCCCAAGTTAAAATTTTTATAAGGTGTAAGGTAAGGGTCCAACTTAATTTTTTTAAAGATTTATTTATTTATTTTAGAGAGTGGGGGAGGGCCAGAAGGAGAAAGATTTTTTTTTTTTTAAGATTTTATTTATTTATTTGACAGAGAGAGACACAGCGAGAGAGGGAACACAAGCAGGGGGAGTGGGAGAGGGAGAAGCAGGCTTCCCGCGGAGCAGGGAGCCCGATGTGGGACTCGATCCCAGGACCCTGGGATCATGACCTGAGCTGAAGGCAGACCCTTAACGACTGAGCCACCCAGGCGCCCCTCCCTGAGAGAGTCTTAAGCAGACTCTGCTCTCAGTGCAGAAATCTCATGACCCTGAGATCACGACCTGAGTCAGATGCTCAACTGACCCATGCAGGTGCTCCTGACTTCATTCTTTTATTTGTGGATTCCCAATTTCCTCAGCACCATTTGTTGAGGAGACTGTCCTTTTTCCATTGAATGGTCTTGACATTGTTTTCAAATATTATTTGATCACATCTCCAGGTTTTACTTCTGGGCTCTCTATTCTGCTCTGTAGGTCTGTCCTATCTCAGTATATGTTTGGTCTCCTCTAGGCCATTTCATCTGGTGATAGATTGCTGTGGGACAGGCCTCATCTTATGGTTAAGTGGGCCAGACAACACCTAGTTCCTCATGGGAAGCTCAGGCCACACGGCCACCCCGTATCCTACGGTGAGATGTTTACTTTTGCAAAAGCCCAGGAGCAAGCCAGAAACCATTTCTCAAAAGGCAAATGGTGATTTGCGGAAGAGGGCATAGATTTGCCCTAAGGTCCTAGAGGGCTTGCTGTGATGCTCTCTTGGCGCCTGCCAGAGGCTGTTACAGTGCTCTTACTTGCCGGGGACATGTTAAGTGTCACTGAACCTGCTGGGTCGCATGGCCCAAATGACATCGCAGCTTGTATGCAGCCTGGACTCGCTGCACAGCCTGCTCTTGCTCTGGTTCCCACTTGAAACTGGAAGCCTTATGAGTGACTCTAAATGAGTGTTGCAGGAGCAGACTCAAACGTGGTATGTGTTGCCTCAGAAATCCAGAAAGGCCTATGAGCACTGTGCGTTCTTTTTCATGGTGGGTGGTTTGAGGTTCAGCGAGTTGTCTTTCACCTGGGAGGGAATAGCTTGATAAGGTGCAGACCACTGAAGCTCCAGCACCTTCACTGAGGCCACAGGCTGCTGACGTTCTGTGGGGCTTATCTGCCATCCTGTAGTTTGCACGTTTTCCTAAGGCATCAAAAGTACTTGCTACACCCGCTCATCAGGTCCAACGGAGATAGGGCCTTTTGAGTCAGACCTCACCCACGGTACCGATTTTATATCAGTCAGGGTCCAGTCAGGAGAAGGACCCCACAGTAATTCGAGCCGAGCAAAGCCGTGGTGCCGCGGGACTGCTGCGGAGGAGCCCAGCAGAGCCAGGCAGGAAGCCCTCTCCCTGTGCAGTTTCTCTTTAGCACCCTCTGCTAACAAAACTTACCGTTGTGCCAGCCGGCAAAGGAAAACCAGTTCAAGGGCTTGGTTCTGTTTTCGTAGGCCCTGAAGGGCGCAGCTGGCGCTAAGAGCCTGCAGCCCATAACTGGCATGGTTTACCTTTTTCAGTAGAGAGCGTGGAGAAGCTGAATAGCTGGGCATCTTGCTCTGACAACACACTCTTCATTGAACCCCACTCCTCACCCCCCGCCACGTTCTGTATGTTACAGAGGCACAGAGATGAATAAGAGAGCCTCTCTTCACAGGGAAATCATGTTTTGGGGTTAATAGGCTATTTCCAGAGCCTCTTAACTGTTCCTTGGCCTATTTCTTCCTTGCTCTTTGAAGTAAAATCATCTAAAAAAAAAAATGCCCGCATTGGGGCGCCAGGGTGGCCCAGTCAGTTAAGCGTCTGACTCTTGGTTTCGGCTCAGGTCGTGATCTCAGGGTCTTGAGATCGAGCCCCTTGTCGGGCTCCATGCTCAGTGCAAAGTCTGCTTGAGATCCTCTCTCTCCCTCTGCCCCTCCCCCCACAACATGAGCACTTGGACTCTCTCAAATAAAGAAAGCAAGCCCACTTTTTTTTTAAATTAAGAGTCTCTCAGGGCGCCGGGTGGCTCAGTCATTAAGCGACGGCCTTCGGCTCAGGTCATGATCCCCGGGTCCTGGGATCGAGCCCCGCATCGGGCTCCCTGCTCCGCGGGAAGCCTGCTTCTCCCTCTGCCTCTCCCTCTCCTTGTGTGCTTTCTCTCTCTCTCTCTCTGACAAATAAAATCTTTAAAAAAAAGTAAAATTAAGAATCTCTCATCACCATGTGACGTGTATTTTATATTGACTGTACTTTGCATTTCTTTTATCACACTCCTTGATGTTACTTGTCTCTTCATCTCATTCTGCCTAGAAAATGATGCACCGCGGCTGTATTGATCCCCTAAAGCCTTGAACTCTCATCGGCCTCTCAACAAAGATAGATAATATTCTCTGGAAAATTTAGGGGCCCCACTTCTTGGTCCCTAAAAGACAGGCTGGTGTCTTTGGCTAAAGGGGTTGTGCATTAGAGAAGGTTTGGGGCCCCACACAGAAAGCCCCCCCTTTGACTTTATCTCCTGGGCAGATCCTGCTCTCACTGCTCTTACCACGCCAGAGCCGCCTACAGAGTGAGATTGAAGAAGCGCTGGACACGGAGCTCCTCCGGCGGGAAGCAGAACACGGGGCCCTGAACGTCCCTCTTCTCTCTAAGTACATTCTGGACATGATGACTCTGCTGTGTGCACCAGTTCGAGACGAAGCAGTGCAGAAGCTAGAGAGCATTACAGACCCGGTTCTGTTACTGAGGTGTGAAACTTGACTGCCGTCCCTTGAAACCTGCCTCAGCCCCTGGGCCAGACACTCCATTCTGGCCCCGTCTTGGCTGGGTCTTCCCCTACTGAAGACCTAACCAATCCTCTCCTTGCTGGCCTACTAGCTTTTTTTCTTTTCTCCCAAAGATGGCCTTAGTTTGGTTGGGCCTCCTATATAGCATCGTATCATAAAACATTATGTGCTCCTTCCAAGGAGTTCAAACATCCTTTCCCCAGATTTTCTCATTGCAGTTTACACAGTGTGAGGGGACAGGGATGGGAGGTTATCCCTATTTAATAGCTGGAGAAACCAAGACCCAGAAAGTTAAAAAAAAAAAAAAAAGAAAAAAGAATAGAAAAGAGTGATTAGCCCAGAAATTGCTTCAGATATGTCATCACCTATAGTCCCACTTCCCAGAAAGATTCATTAGCCTGCTGGTGTGTGTTTCCTTTTGCTGACTCTACCTTTTAAAAAGGATGATAGAATGATCGTGTGGAAAGAGAGCTAGCCTGGAGGCTTCGAGGTCCAGAGGCTTCTCTGTTCCTCACTCTGCCATTCACTTACTCTGGGACTGGGGTCCTGAGTCCTCAGTCACAGTGCCATTTTTTGTCAATTTAGGAGATGAGACTAATTTTTTTTTTAAAGATTTTATTTATTAGAGAATGTATGAGTGGGGGGAGGGGCAGGCAGAAGGAGAAGCAGGCTCCCCACTGAGCAGGGAGCCCGACGCAGGGCTCGGTCCCAGGACCCTGGAACCATGACCTGAACCAAAGGCAGATGCTTCACCGACTGAGCCACCCAGGCGCCCTGGAGGTGGGACTCGTTTTACAGCTCCTCCTCACTCTGGAACACAGTGATTTAATGACACTTTCTGTAGGGTCCCCTCTCACTAGATTTCCTTTCGTAGTATATTTTATTTTCTCTTATGTCAGAGGAATCTTCCAGGTTCTGGGCCTGATGAAAATGGACATGGTGAACTATACTATCCAGAGCCTTCAACCACACCTGCAGGAACATTCCATCCAGCATGAACGGGCGACATTCCAGGAACTCCTCAATAAACAGCCCAGTACGTAAACAACCCTGAGGGCCAGAGTGAGAAGATGGGACCTGGTGTGGGTCTGACTTCTGTGATGTTAGAGAGTACTCTGTCTCTTGGGAACAGAAAGTTTCTTCCTCAGGTAGGGGGAGGGAGAAGGAAGAGTCATCTAAGACAGACCAAAGCATTTATTTATTGCCCGGGAGCAGATGGTGAAAAGAACCTTAGTCTTGAAGCTTTAGGGATGCGGACGCCGAGGGTGCTTGCCCGCTCGCTTCCTGTCCTAGGCCTCCTTGACCACACCACCAAGTGGCTGACCCAAGCGGCCGCAGACCTCACCACGCCACTTCCGACTTGCCTGGACGCTTCCGACTCTGCCACTGTGGCCTGCTCCTCTCCGAACGAGGCAGTCAGCAGCCCGGAGCCCCTCAGCCCTACGATGGTGCTGTCCCAGGGGTTCCTGAACCTCCTTCTCTGGGACCCTGCAAATGAAGAGTTCCCTGAGGTAGGCCCGAGGAGGGCATCGCCTCGTTTTGCGTCCGGGGCCTCCACCCGGACCGGCCCCTCCTGACAGCCTCTTCCCCGCTTCCCCAGACGCTGCTGATGGATAGGACCCAGCTGCAGGAGCTGGAGTCCCAGTTGCACCAGTTGACCATCCTGGCCTCAGTTTTGCTGGTGGCCAGCAGCTTCTCTGGCAGTGTTTTGTTCGGCTCACCTAGGTTTGTGGACGAGCTGAAACGCATAACCAAACACCTGATGGTGGAGTTCGACTCCAGGTGAGCTGCGTAGAGCTTTTCTAGAGAGGTGGTTACGTGTGGTGGGAAGACGGAGCTGGGTAGGGAGCGATCGCTTACATTCTACGGCAGGCCACAAAGACCGGAACCGTCCACAGGGATCACTGATGCCTTCCCATAATGGTCTTGAGACTTGTGACAAAGAGAAGTAAAGCTTTCCTCCAGAAAGGGTAGTATGGAGGATAGTTTACCACCAAATGAGTCACGATCTTGTTTTCTACAAAGCAATCATTCTCTCCTTGAGGGGATGCCTGCCAGTGGACTGGTCTTAGGTATATCCAGGAGTTGATTAGTCAGCGATGTTCATCGAACACCTGTGCGCAGGGTGTCACACCAGAGGACAAAAGGAATCAGAAGGCCAGGTTTGTCACTGTAATTGGTGACAGCTGGACAAATGACCATGCCCAAATGACCAAGAAAGTCTTAAAAATGTACATGCACATATATACATAAATTCCATGGGGCTGAAGAATTGAGTGGATACCACAGAGTTGATTTTATAGTTTATCTTGTTTTCTAAGCAGTAGAACACGGTGTCATACGTAGAGAATAGTCGGGATCTGGAGCATAACAGTGAAGATACTGAGCCTGCCCGCTGGGTCCTGCTGCGGCCGGGGGCGGGGGAGGGCAGGAGGGCGGCTGCGAGTCTCCCTCAAGTGGGCCCAGCTTCTGGCATGGGGCTTCCCTGGCTCTGGGCCTCTGCCAGGGCCATCTGCTGGGTACCAGCTTACTCTCCTTCATGGTCTAGGCCTGAAGAGGCCATGCGGACTGTGAGTGAACAGGTGTCTCAGGAAATCCATCAAAGCCTCAAAAAAATGGGCCTGGCTGCTCTGAGCAGTGACAACACAGCATCTCTGATGGGACAGCTCCAGAACATTGCCAAGAAGGAGAACTGTGTCCGCAGCGTCATTGGTGAGCATGCCTGTGGGGGGTGAGAACGTTTTGGGGAGAGGTAGATCCCATCCCTGGAAGTCAGTTACTGAACCATTTAACAATAAAAAGCAGGATCATTGGGCAAGTCACTGTTTAGGCTTTAGTTTTTTTCAAAATGCTGGATTGAAAATATATTCCTTTCAGTTTAAGTTTAAAGAATGATTCTGGTTCTAAGGAAGGTTTGCACCCAGAAATTCATGACTTCTGGGTAGGACATCCTGTTTACCTAATCTGGTTAAGTCATCCCTGGACTTCTGGGTCATTTTCTGACTATAATCCAAGACATGACATCTACCCCCAACCTCCCAGCAACAAGAAGCTGATGCTGAGTCAGCTGGAGGACATGTTCCCACAGCAAGGACTCATCCCTGTTGGAAGAGAGGGCATGAACTTGACCTTGCTCCTAACCTCAGCCATCCAAAGGATCGGTCTAAGATCCTCATGTTAGAAACTCACCAGGATCTACTGGTGGAGGCTTAAGTCATCTTTTGAACAGTCAGAAATTTACTAGCCCACTCATTTGTGATCTTTGCTTTGTCCTTGGGAGCTAAAAAGCAGCCCCCTTCGCGAACAAAACGAATGTCCTTATCTCCAGGTGGGTGGGCTAGTAAATATCTTGGTTGACTTAGAACTTGAGTGAGTAGAGCGGAGGGGCTGTGCAGCTCCCTGAAAGTTGTTTGCTTCTTCCCCGCTCACAGATCAGCGGATCCATTTGTTTCTCAAATGCTGTCTGGTCCTCGGTGTGCAGCGATCCCTGTTAGACCTCCCCGGAGGCCTTACTGTCATTGAAGCAGAACTGGCAGAACTGGGCCAAAAGTTTGTCAGCCTAACGCATCACAATCAGAAGGTGTTTGGCCCCTACTACACAGAGATCCTAAAAACCCTCATCCCTCCAGCCCAGGCCCTGGAAACCGAGGTGGAGTCTCTGTGAATGTACCGGCTCCAAGCCTGGCCTCTCGGACCTGGAGAGAGCTCGGCATTCTCCTGGGGTGATCTCACCAGTGAAACATCAGAGCAGGAAGGCTCCTCCCCTCCCGCAGCCGGGCCACCAGGGCTGAAGTGAGCAGCATGTCAGCACCAACTGGCCCAAACTCATTCACTAATAAACTTCTGAACTGCAAGCAAACCTCCACTCTTCCTGTGCCGCGGCTGTGTCTGGGCCCTGTGCTCTGGGCCCCTAACTAGCCAAGAAGCCAAAAGACCCCCAGTCTGCCCCCACGGGCTAGGTGCTCCCTTCAGCATGCAGAGCTGAGAAGCCAAGACACCTGGGTGCTAGCATCATTTCTCTAAGGGTAAAGCATTTTTCTGAGGGCTCCGAGAAGTCTGTAGAACTATCCAAAGTGTGAGTAGAAGGGCTTCTCTGGAAGTCAGAAATTTGTTTTGTCCAGTTCAGCTTGGACTTGGGCATGGTCGAAAAAAGTTCTTAGAAACTTCACTTCCAGGACCAAATTCCCCTGAAGGTTTCAAATGATAACAGCAAGCAATCAGGAAACAGAGCCTCAGCTGCTGCTTCTGTGGCCCAGGCTGCAGGCAGGGGGAGGCGGCAAACTGAGGCCGCGGGGAAGTGCCTGTTTGCTGTGAGCAAGTGTTCCGTAGAGGGCATGCCTCCGAGTTCATGGGATTTCCCTCTCTCCAGGAGTCGGAGGGGAGACTCGGACTGGACTGTTTGGTCAGTGACTGACTTGCATCAAGTCTCTTGTTGGTCCTGTTCTCCTGCTGCGTGAGCTTCCTGTTCCCTCATGTCTAAGCTTAGACACCCCGCTCTGACAGAGGCAACGTGGGCATTTAGAGGTGGTACAGCGGCCGTCCTTCTTCCCCTTTCCAGTCCGGGGCTCTGTTGGCAGTTGGAGGTGTGAGCTCCTGTTGGCATCCCAAACGAGGGAGGTTCTGGGAAGGGCCCAGGCTTGCCTCCTGGCATTGTAGAGATCCAGCCCATCCTCCTCAGGCTGACTGCCACAGACCAGCCCAACCTAGTACAGCAAAATGAGGAAAATGTTCCACTTAGATTTGTCCCTTTTTAAATAACGGACAAGAGAAAATGGACATTCACTATGTGCTCTCAAGGTAATGGGAAGAGAAACAATGTTCTCACCATTTCGAGAATGGAGGGGGCTGCCTGTAACACACAGAATCTGGGAAGAACAACAGAAGGGGCATTTGAGTTCCATCAGCCACAGGTTGGTTCCTAACTGACTTCCTTTCTAGAGAGATGGGTGACACAGCCAGGTCAACAGTGTGGCCATGACCAGAAACCCTGGAGGACCTGGATAGACATCCTCAGGATGGGAAGCCCAGAAAAAGGGCATGTTTGATAAACAGTGAAGCTTGCCTAGATGGATTCTCTGATTTGCAATGATTAATTTGAATTTCTTAAAAGTCCACGTTTTGGAAGCCTCATCTTCAAGGCAGAGGTGCTCTGAAGGGACCTCTGTGAAAAGGACTGCCTGGGTGGGGGGTGCAGACACTGAGCTGACAGTAGAACCTTGCTTTCTACTTCATAATTAAAATCTGGGATGATCCATTTCTTAGAAATTTCAGGTTGATTTTCTCATGCTTCCACACAGAGGAGACAGGGATCCCGACCTCCATTTCATCCTGCCCATGGCTTGAGGGATATATGTTTAACATTGAGAGAAAATACACATAATATAAAACTTGCCATTAGTGACATTTAGTACATTCACAATATTGGTCAACTATCACCACTGTCTACTTCCAGAACATTTTCATCACCTCAAAAGGAGGTCACATACCCGTTAACCCCTCACTTTTTATTCTTCCCTCCCCCGAGGCTCTGGCAGCCACTACTCTGCTTTTTGTTTCAGTGAGTCTTCTTTCTTTCTTAATTTCTTTCTTTTTTTTTTTTTAAGAGCTATTTATTTGAGAGAAAGAGAGGGAGCGTGTGCACATGTGAGTAGGGGAGAGGCAGAGGGAGAGAGAGAGAGTCCCAAGCAGGCTCCCTGCTGAGTGCAGAGCCTGACACTGGGCTCAATCCCACGTCCGGAGATCATGATCTGAGCGGAAACCGAGAGTCAGACACTCAACTGACTAAGGCACGCAGGCGCCCCTGATTTTTTTTTTTTTTAATTACAGAAATCTTGGTGGGTGTGACGTGAAATCTCACTGTGGTTTGATTTGCATTTCCCTGATAGCTAGTGATCTTGGGTATCTTTTCATGTGTTTCTTGGGCATTTGTATCTCTTAAGTGGAAAATTTATTTTAGTCCTTTGCCCATTTTTGAATTGGGTTGTTTCGTTGTTGAGTTGTAAGAGTTCTTTATATATTCTGGATAGTAGACCTTTGTTAGGTAAATGATTTGCAAATATATTCTCCTATTCTGTGGATAGACTTTTCACTTTCTTGATAGTGTCCTTTGATGCACAAAAGTTTTAATTTTGATGAAGTCCAACTTATCAGGTTTTCTTTTTATGGATTGTGCTTTTGCCGTCAAGTCTAGGAACTCTTTGCTCAGCCCTAGATCCCAAAGATTTCCTCCTAAGTTTTTTTTGCTAGAAGTTGTATAGTTTTGTGTTTTACATTTAAGTCTATGATCCATTTAGAGTTAATTTTGTGTAAGGTGTGAGACTTAGTTGAGGTACTTTCTTTTCCCCTCTTGTCTATGAATGTCCAGTTGCTCTAGTATCTTTGCTGAAAAGGCTACCTTTCCTCTATTGAATTGCTTTTGTACATTATAAGTTTGGCATGTTTGTCTGGGTCTCTTTTCTGGGTTTTCTAGTCTGTTCCCCTGATCTATGTGCCTGTCTCTCTTCCACACAACACAGTACTGATTACTGCAGGTATATAAGTCTTGAAATTGGGTAGACTGGGTCTTCCTACTTTATTCTTCTGTTTCAATTTTTTTTTTAAGCTATTCTAGTTTCTTTGCCTTTCCATGGACTAATCTTGTCTATATCTACAAAAAAAATTTGCTGGAATTTTTATAGATACTATGTTAAACCTGTGTATCAATTTGGGGAGAATTGACATCTTTACCAAGTTGAAAGTTCCAGTCCATGAATATGGTATATCTCTCCAGTTATTTAGATCTTTTTTGAGTCTTTCATCAGGACTGTGCAGATTTTTTTTTAAGTTTTCTTTTTTTTTGGTAATCTCTACACCCAACGTGGGGCTCAAGCTCACAACCCTGAGATCAAGAGTCACATGCTCTTCTGACTGAGCCAGCCAGGTGCCCCAGGACTGTATAATTTTTATCATGTAAGTCCTTAACATATTGGATTTACACCTAAGAATTTCATTTTTTTTTAAAGATTTTATTTATTTATTTGACAGAGAGATGGCGAGAGCAGGAATACAAGCAGAGGGAGTGGGAGAGGGAGAAGCAGGCCCCCCGCTGAGCAGGGAGCCCGACGTGGGCCTCGATCCCAGGACCCTGGGATCATGACCTGAGCCGAAGGCAGACGCTTAACGACTGAGCCGCCCAGGCGCCCAGAATTTCATTTTTTTGAGTGATTACAAATGGTGTTTTATTTTTAATTGTGGTGTCTACATGCTCATTTCTACAAATAGAATGGACTTTTGCAAGTTTATTTTGTATTCTGTGATCTTAACTCACTTATTCTAATAATTTCCTTGTAGATTCTTTGGAATTTTCTACATAGACAGTCATGTAATCTGCAAATAGGGACAGTTTTATTTCTTTTCTGATATGGATGCCTATTATTTCCTTTTCTTTTTTTTTTTTTTTAAGATTTTTTTATTTATTTATTCATGAGCAACAGAGGGGGAGAGAGAGAGAGAGAGAAGCAGGCTCCCAAGAGCCCGATGCAGGACTCGATCCCAGGAGCCCGGGATCATGACCTGAGCCGAAGGCAGACGCCCAACCATCTGAGCCACCCAGGTGCCCTATTATTTCCTTTTCTTGCCTTATTGTACTGGCTAGAACTCTCAGAATTTTAAGACTGGTAATGTGGAATCCTTTCTTTGTTCCTAATCTTAAGGGGAGAACATTCAGTTTTTCACCATTAAATATAATATTGGTTGTAGGTTTTTGTAAATGTTTTTATTTTTTTAAGATTTTATTTGTCAGAGAGAAAGAGCACAAGCAGGGGGAGTGACAGGCAGAGGGAGAAGCAGATTCCCCACTAAACAAAGACCCGTGTGGGACTCAATCCCAGGACGCTGGGATCATGACCTGAGCCGAGGGCAGGCGCTTAACCAACTGAGCCACCCAGGTGCCCCGGTTTTTATAAATGTTCTTAATCAAGTTTAAAGAAATCCCTCTCTGTATTAAGTACTACAAATTTAGTGCCTTGAGACAAGGCAAATTTATTATCTACAGTTCTGGGTGTGAGAAGTCCACAATGGGTCTTACTGGCTAAAAATTAAGGTGTAGGCTGAGCTACATGAGGCTCTAGGGAAGAATTAGCTTCCTATGATAGCTGTAACAAGTTACCACAAACTGAATGGCTTACTTAACAAAACCAGAAATATACTCTCTTACAGTTCTGAAGGTCAAAAGCCAGTCAGTTTGGGCTGAAATCAAACTGTGGGCAAGGCTGTACTCCCACTGGAGACTCTAGGGAAGAATCTGTTCTTGCTTCTTCCAGCTTCCAGTGGCTACTGGCATTCCTTGACTTGTGGCTGCATTACTCCAATCTCCACCTCCAATCTCTGCCTCCATGGTCACCTGGAGGTTACACGGTCCTCTTCTGTGTGTATCTAAGCTCCCTCTGCCTCTCTGAGGATACTCACAATTGGATTTAAGGCCCACCCACGTAATCCAGGGGAATCTCCCCATCTCAAGATCCTTGATTTAATCAGGTTTGCAAATTATCTTTTGCCATATAAGGTAACATACTCAGAGGTTCTCTTGATTAGGATGTGGACATCTTTAGGGAGCTATTCACCCTCTGTTTCCATTTTTCTGAGTTTTTATCATGATGTTGAATTTTGTCAATTTTTTTCTCTGCATCAATAGATAATGGGATTTTTTTTCTTTAGATTGTTACTATGTTGGATTACATTGACTGATCTTCAAATATTGACCAGCCTTGTATCCTCGGAATTAACTTCCTTTGGTCATAGTGTGTAATTCTTTTTATATATATCTGAATTCTATCTGCTAATATTTTGTTACTGATTTTTCGTGCCTATACTCATGAGGGGTATTA